AAATTACTGAAAAAATGAATAATTAAATGACTTTTTAAACCGTTTAACTGATTGTATTAATCGGTCAAAATTCTTACGGTCGGTTAACTGGTTAAAATGAACATCCCTAGTCAGAATGGTTCTGAGGATAACGATCGGTTCGACAATCAGTTTGCACAGAAAGTACTGCTTGTGTTTCATGAATCTAGTCACTTGTTTTCACTTGACTTGTTTTCTTGTAGACTTTCATTTATATTTTTAATTAAATATGGTATCTTCTGTTAATAAATGTGAGATCACATTTACTGTTCTAAAAATTTTCATTTGGGCAAAATCCAGTCATTTGAACAGGAATTCACATGATCAGGAATTCTGCGCGAGTGTAAGATATTTCCTCATGCAGATTTCACAACAGGTTCAAGCTGACCTACAGAAAGCTGCTTGGTTTGAAACTAGACAATTAGTAACAGACAATGGACTATTTTTGCCCTTGAAATATTACTAATGTGACATGCTGGTGAGGTCTGACCTGGGACAAATGTTAAATGGATAGTGCGAGAAAATCTTTTCCCAGCAGCCTTTAGTCTGCGAATGGCTTCAATGTACCTGCAGAGAATCAAAACTTATACAATACACAAACAAACTTCATATCCTGTTTAGATAAATTATTATTCTTTCCTCACTTAGTGTGCTTGTTGGTGCCTAACCAAGCTATAGCTGATGATCAAAAATATCTGACTATAACAGTCCAAAAGATTTCAAGTTACAAATTCACAGAATTCGGCACAGACATTCTGACAGTAGGCTCCATCTTATCAGATTGATCGGCTGTAACTAAAACTACTACTGACTTGCACTTACAGACTGTTCTTAGTCAGTCTCGAAATGTTCATGATTTCAACCAAAATGTGTAAAAATATAAACTATAACTATAGTAGACCCTCAGTAATACTACAAAACACTGGCCAAAGGTTTGAACAAAATTTTTAGTTTGTAGAGTTTTAAACTCACTGTATCGTGACACATTTCATATCCTGAGATCCTCTGCCGTAGATGTTGCCATCCGCATCTTTAACAGCAGCAAAGGGATCATATTTCCAGTGTCCCTGATGCAGATTGATATAGTGAGATCCTGAACCATGCGGTGTGATCTGTACGTGATTGGCGTGTTACAGCAGTACCTCATAAACCGGGACCACATCAGTGTGTGAGTTCAGCACCACAGACTTCAGCTCCGGCCTGCTGCCGACCCACGTGATGACTGCAACGACCCGCCCGGGACACACCTGAGGGACAGAATTAGGACGTGCTGTGAGGCTATATTAACATGGATGTGCATGATGAAGAACATGATTAGATGTTTAAAGACTCCTCTCACGTGGTAAATCATTACCTCCACTTTCTTCATGGGTAAACCCAGCTCCTCTGCTATCCGCTCCATGAATCTTATAGCAGCATCTGACAGTGAGTGATGAACACAGTGGCAGATTTACTTTACTGATCCCACACATGATAGTCATCAACTTTTTAAAATTTGTGATAACCAAAGGTTGCAGAAAACAGGAAGAAAGTGAGTATCTGCTTTATAGGCCAAACCCGAGAAAATGGCACCATCTGGTGTAAAAAAAAGTAAATATTTTAATTTTGAGGCCTTGCCAACAGAATGAAAGCCTATTATCAAAGACTGCATTATTTTATAGTTAAATGGTCCTGGGATTAAAAACTACAGGGACATTTTTGTACTTAAGGTCCTGAGTGTAACTATTTTGTGTACCTAGTGTAAAATTGATTTATTAAAGTAAATGAGTGTGACATTAAAATTCTAATAAAAATATACATTCGTTCCAAAACTTATGCTGTTGGCATTAATAAAATTACCAAAAAAAGGACTAAAATGTCCATAAGGATGCACAAGGGTTAAGCGTTGCACATTAACTCCATGTAAAAACTAAATATCTGCAGTGGCTGTAGGGGTGTGCGAAGTGACGGTTTTTGATCGTGGGTGATTAAAATGTCTCCACGATATGCTTTTGAAGAAATATCGTAGTACTACAGCACACATTCTATTAGATGCAGTTCTGGCTCCTCTGTCTCAATATACTGTACAACGCCACATGCATTCACATCACATTTTGAAAGTAAACAGTTGAGAGAAAACGGATGTGTGCCTGTATATTTACTTTTACTTTTAGTCATTTAGCAGACGCTTTTATCCAAAGCAACTTACAAATAAGAAAAAGTAATTAAAACTAAAAGCTAAAACTCTATAAATACTATATACAGGTCCATCTCAATAAATTAGAATGTCGTGGAAAAGTTCATTTATTTCAGTAATTCAACTCAAATTGTGAAACTCGTGTATTAAATTAAGTGCACACAGACTGAAGTAGTTTAAGTCTTTGGTTCTTTTAATTGTGATGATTTTGGCTCACATTTAACAAAAATGCTACTTTTCTCTTTTTTAAAAAAAATATTTGTTCATTCAATTTCTTGAATGCTACTGCTAAATACACCTGCTGTACCTGAAAAATAAAGCACTGATTGTTTTATGTGTATATTACCTGTATCTTTGTTCTTATTTTTTAATAACAAAGATAATACAATGACAAAGAATTTTATCTTCGCCCACTTAAAAAAATAAATTAACATAAACATCTGTTACACTTTATTTTATGGTGATGTTGTTACAGTGTAATTACTAGGGATGCACCGATACCAATATCGGTATCGGGCCCGATACTGGTCTCCTGTACTCGTTAAAATGCCCCGATACCAAACGCCGATACCACACAGCATGTGATAAGCTCCATATTCAGACAAAGAAACACCGACAACAGAACAAACCAGTAAAACCTGATACAAATTTGGGTCTAAAAATTATTCAGACCGAGTCTGTGAATAAACTGAAGTTGAGGTTTGCATGAAGCTGGGTGACAGCATGCCCAGGAGACTACAGACTGTCATTAAGGCTAAAGGTCACCCGACTACGTATTGATAGTTGTGTAAATACTGTCATACTAACAGCTGTCTGAATTATTTTGGTTGATTGTAATCCATTACATACCTTTCTATCAAAGTTATATAACATTATCAAGATTAATTTTTTCTGACACAGTTAAACTCTAAATTTTTGTCATATTTTATTACCATTTTCTGAACTATAGCAAATAAACTGTGATGTGAGAAATGTTGAAGGTATCTATTTGATAAATGAAGTTAACCAACTAACATTATACATACTCTTTTGGTTTCTGTACCCAATATTTAAAACATTTACAAATGCAATAAAAATATCGGTATCGGTACTCGGTATCGGCAAGTACAAAAAAATAAAAGTATCGGTATTGGGCGAGTATTGGAAAAAGTGGTATCGGTGCATCCCTAGTAATTACACAATTAAGTAAGCTACTGAGTAATACTAATTACTACAATAATAATTACATGTAGTTACTGTAGGAGTTATGGTAAGTTATGGTTTAGTTTAGGGTTAATTATGCATAATTTACTGTTATTACTAATAGTAAGTACATGTAACGTGTAACTATGTCACCTTAAAATAGTGTTACCAAAATATCAATTCATATACATGTAAAATTTATAGATTTTTTTCAGTCTATTGTATTAGCATTTTTTGTCCCTTATTTTGGACATAGGCGCTAAATATTATTTATATATGTAAATGTACAAAATATTTTATTTCATGATTTTTATGTATCATATTTCAGTGAAAATTCAATTTATTACGATTGACAGAAAAAAAAAATGTTAAAAGATTGTCAACTCGCATGACATTACAAAATATTCAACATGTTTATAAAAGCTGCTTATTGTATATATATATATAAAATATCATATTATGTGACTGTTTACTTAAAGGAAAACATGCAAACTACTAGTTCTGCATTAAAAATAAATGCTGCAGCCAAACGGAAACCAAACTAAATAGCTGATCCTAAGCTCCCAGTGTGAACTCAGACCCAGTTTGATTAAGATGTTACAAAGATACTTCATATTTCTGCCAAAATGCTGGAATTCATAGCTCATGTTGTTCCAAACCTTTATGACTTTCTTTCTTCTATGGAACACAAAAGTTTTGAGAATTATCACAGTGAGTTTAAGTTCTTACTAAAACCCTCGGGCTACCAATATTGTTCAAAATATCTTCTTTTGTGTTCAACAGAATTAAAAGAAAGTCATACAGGTTTGGAACGACATGAGCAAAGAATTCCAGCAACTTGACAAAACAAAGTGACAAAGTATCTTTATAACATCTTAATCAAACTGGGTCGTAAACATTATAAAGGGTGAGTAAATGATGCATTTTTTATTTTTGGGTGATCTCTGCCTTTAATACTTCTCTGTATTTTTGCATAAATTGAACCTCAACTGTAAAAAAATTAATAAAATAAAATCAGTGATTACTGCTAGTTTACTGTATTAATTAATCATCACTTTGAGACAGAGGTCAAAGGTCAACTAATGGACTTTGGATGGATGTCACTGTTAATGCATTACAACACCTTTCAGAGCAAATCAGTCTTAAAACTAGCAAGCTGCCTACCTAGACAACATTTCTAGATGTTTTAGGGGTTAACACGTATTCCTGGTCAAAGGTTAACTGGAGTAGTAAACCTAAACCTAGACTGTGAAACACTATGGAATACCCCATTTACTGCAGGACAGGGTAAGAGGGTCTCAGGTACCGTAGTCGGGCTCCGGGTGGACGGTCTTCAGCCGCAGGTATTCTCTGAACAGGGTCACTGAAGGGTCTTCTGTCCCGGGGCCGTCCTGGACTCCTCCGCCTCCGCTCGGTCCATCTTTATCAGGCAACATACCGGTCCACTGTCCTGCGGGACCAGACAGTTTATTATTAACTAATACACACTCTCTCTTACACACACACACACGCACATACATGTGGATCTTGAACGTTCAAATCATATTTCACCTCAAAATCAAAAAGACATGGCAAACTTTATTAAAAGCAAAGCTTTAGTCAAACCTCAGTGATAATTCACGGTGAGAGTTCAACATCACAAATACTGTTATAAAAAGTCAAATCTGTTTTATAAAAATTCAAATCACTACAATATTTTAGCAAAAAATGACAAGCTTTGGCATCAACATTTCAATGGGACAAAACTGGGATGAACTCCTTTTTGGGGCATCTGTCAAATTCTTACTGTAATGCTTTAATCGCTGTTGTCTTGAAAGTACAGATTCACATATTGTAAGATATGATCAACGGCGTTGAGCAGGAGAATATCAGTGTTTTCATCCAGATCCAGCTCTGAGCAGTAGTTCTTCACCGGGACTATGTAGGATGTGGCCATACCCAGCAGCTCTCCGGCCTTCACCATCTAGACAGATCAGTAAGAGAATGAATCACGTGATGCTCAAGGCAGACAGCACAACATGGCAAATAGGGATGGGCGTATCGATCCGAAGTATCGATACTCAAACAACAAATATCGATACTAAGGTGTGTTTTATTTACCAGTGATATTGTTTATTTAACAAAAAAATAATAATGTGTACAATATGCATTGAATCAGACGAATAACCTTTGTTAGCGAGTGATTGTGTAGGATACAACTATTTTCCTGCTCATCTGAACACACACAAATGTTGCAAGACAGAACCAATCCATCACAGAGAGCGTTCACTCACTTCTGACGGTGCATTCAAACAGGGCTGCGTTTCCCAAAAGTGTCATAAGAAACCATTGATGCTTTTGAGAACGGCAGCCAAGAACAATGCTTATCAGAGGACAGAAGGACAGAGTTATTTCACAGTAAACAAACTGAAATTGTAGCCTACATAGTTTGTGCAATTACAGTTATTTAAATTGAACGTTGAAAGATAATATTGATCATGTTCTATTCTGTAATGTTAATAGAATAAAAAGGTTGCATTTTATGCATGCAACAGCCGGTCACTGGCAGCCCCTTGCAAAATTAACCATGGTTTTACTAAAGTGACCGTAGTTACTTTACTGTAGTATTTATAGATTTGAATCATGTGTAAACAAAAACACATTTGAACCATGTGTAAACAAAAATATAACCTAATAAGTTACAATTAAGGCGTATTGAGTGTAAAAAAATGTGTTTTAAACAAAGTTAAGTGCTTATCATTACCCATTTTACTCTTAGTAATTTAATAATTTAATAAATTTCATAATTTAAAAGTTTAGTTCAGAAGTATCGAATCGCTATCGCTATCAACGATACTGCCTTGAAAAATATCGGTATCGTATCGAAAACAAAATAAGTGGTATCGCCCATCCCTAATGGCGAAGCATCAAGCATGACATACCGCCTGCTGAACAGCCTGGCTCTTGTAAACCTTGGTGATGTCACTTCTGGTCGCGGTACACACCTGGTCCACATGGGTCAGTAACGCCACCTGGTGTACACCTGCAATCCAGAAAATTAGATTAAATATACATGAAACATGGCTAAATATTATTAAGTGAAGCATTGAAGACTCGTTCACACCAAAAACAATAACGATAAAGATATTAGCGCCCACACTAACAGACGATAACATTAGCTATGTTTCCATCCATTTTATGCGCATTTTGGATTATCGCATAAAAAACCGCTAGATGGAAACGTCAAGATGAGCATAAATTCAAAAAATGCGAATAAAAAACGTATGCGTATAATTGAGTAGGATAAAGTTTTATCTGATAAGAAAAAATGCGCATAAAATACGATGGAAACACATTTGCCGAAAAAATTCCACCATACGCATCGAAAAAGTCATGTGACTTTGCGCATCGAGATGGGATAAATTGACTAACCAGTGGACCGATCTCGTTCACAGCATCTATATGTTGTTTTGGTCGTTCTGAAATGCCTGAGCAAAGTCTGTCGTCTGTATAATTTACTGTCTTACATGACTGCGTTCCCAAACAGAAGGCATCCACCTCTAAAAGCAATGACCGCATTTATTGTGTTACGTCTGCTCTCTCTGAAGCGCAAGTCATTTATTATATATAAAAATTATTATATTCAGTGGCTTCTCCTAGTTTTCGTAGAGATATTTAGTGCCAGTTTATCAGGAAGTGACGATTTTGATCTCTTTGACTCGTTGGATGGAAACGGTGCTTTATTCGCAAATGTTTTATGCGATATTCCAGTTTTGCGCATAAGTTAAATTCGCATCTTTGGATGGAAACATAGCTACTGTGTTTATTATAAACGCGAGCTGCAGTTTTGTCGTCTGCCACTTTAAAGTCACCATGAAATCAAAATGGAAAATTCTTATTTTTTAATGGAATACTGTAGTGTTTATTATAAATAATCTATCTGTGGACTTCTTTTTTTTTTAAA